GCACTGAATTGAATCTAAGTTACTGTGCTTTTATTTCCACATTCTTCAGTGGATATATATTTTATCAAACTGATCTTAGTTAGTTTTCAATTAGAAATTATGAAATCAACTAATAAGAATGGTGTTCCACAAGGAACAGTCCTTGGATCATTATTATTTACAATATCAATCACTGATTTTCCATCTATTTCATAAGATACAAATGTATGTGGATTATATTGTAATTTATATTTATGGTTTACTTTCAACAGAATGACATAAGCATGAAGTTAACTGATTGTTGTGGAAAATAAGAATCAGTCAAAGGCTTTATTGAAATGTCCACTTTAGCTGCAACTGAATTGTCATGGGTTGAATATGTCTGTTCATAGTTTGATGTTCAGTCATGAGTTTAATACATGTCCCTACAGCAAATACAAAACCTTGTGGCCTTGTCATTTTATATTTATTTATTTATTTATTTTACTTTATTATTTTTTGTCTTATTCATTCATTTATTTATTTAAGCTTACTTAAAATTTTTGTCTTACACTCTTTGGTAATAAGTATTCTATTGCTTGCTTGTAATTGTTGCTTTCCTGAGACTTTTCTGTTCCACATTTATTTTGTAAAAAAAATTAATACAAAAAAGGCAACACAAAACAACATCGTGGTTCATGTTACCTGGGGATTCTAATAAAATACCAGATGTTTTCCATATCAGGAGAAACACTAAGTCTTATTTGGACACAATACCTTGAAGATATAATGGATTCTAAACTTTCCTTTTAAAGCTCAGGTGAGCAAGGTTTGTTACAGGGTCACATTTTGCATTCACAACCGACTACATGTCAACAGAATCAGCATACACTCTATGATTATTATTGCAATGTTTATTTGTGAAGACCCACACTCTTTTTTAGGGTGAATTTTACAATCTTTACAAGCTTTTTACATAATATGCAGCCTCGGTTAAATAAACTGAACTCAACATATCACACGATGTACAACCTTGAATCGTGCTGCAGCTTTGCGCTTTTTTCACAGCAGCCTTTTAAGATTGAACCCCTGCAGTTATTTAACATTATTTAAAGTTAGTACATTTTTGCCATCTGTTATTTCAAAGGCCTGAACTCTCCATTATTATTAAAGGTTAATTGATTATTACCAGTATTGCTTTCTTTGGAAGCAGAGGGAAAATGACATTTTAAAAGCTTTTGATTCAGGTGTTTGTGGTTCTGTCAAAAAGGAGTATATATTGAAGACATCTAAAGCAAATCAACAATGTCCAACCTTATCAGTAAAATACAGCTTTCAAGACTTGAATGCTGGATTGTGAAGCATAAAAAAGTAGATCTATTTTTTGCTTTGTCTCTTTATTTCTATTTTGAGCAACACAAGCCATTTGTGTCCTGGTGCTATTGCACAATGCTAAAACGCTTGTCAAAACAAAATAGGTGTATTTGTGACAGATTTGACACTTTCAGAGTGCCTGAGAAGATATTTTCGTAGAAAATTTGAAGCACTTAAGTTTCATAACAAACGGATGATGATACTTGATTCCTCTGACTTTTTTCAATGTGCTGCAGACTGCACTTACTCTAAAGTGTCTGACCTTACTGACAGGAAAAATGCAGCTCTTTTGATAAGTACTATAAGTTAGCAAACGTAGCCACAAAGAGTATTCTGGGAAAATAAACCTCACAAGTATTTCAGTATTAGTTTGTCATTGGAGCAAACAGCAAAATAGTTTTATTTTTGAACTCTTAAATTAGCAGCAAAACCGTAACTGCTGCAACAGAACAGGGTGGCAAACACAGGTGTCACCTTAAACACAGCTCTTCAGCTGCTTCTAACTAACATAATTAAAATGAAGAACATCTTAATCCATAAATTTACGCCACAGTTGAGTCACCTTCTTGCAGTTAGTAGGTGCTCAGTCTGCACGAACAGTTAATCACTGACATTAAAAGCACCCACTTCACTGACCAGTGACTCGCCTGAAAACTACAAAGATCTCTGACATATTTGTCAGTAATTCAGGATGTGTGTGTGAGTGTGTGTGCGTGCGTGCGTGCGTGCGTGCGTGCGTGCGTGCGTGCGTGCATGTGTGTGTGTGTGTGTGTGTGTGNGTGCGTGCGTGCGTGCGTGCATGTGTGTGTGTGTGTGTGTGTGTGTGTGTGTGTGTGAAAGAGGAAAGGAGAAGGTCAAATTAAAAAAAAACTGACTGCCTAGCTTTTGCCCTTTACCACTCCAGTTCATTTTCCCATTTCAGCCCATTAAACGCTTCAGCAAACGCAGCTCTGTGCATCAACCTGCACTACCCTAAATCTGACCCTAGATGGCAGCCTTCCTATACCCAAAACCTTACTGACGCCTCAGCATTCAATTACACACCGATAATTCACTGATTGGATATTAAACGATTAAACTGGCAGCTATTTTAATACAATTGGACTTGTTATTTATTTATTTATTTTATTTTAAAAGCAACATAATACTTGGCAGGGAAAGTAAAGCCTGTATGGTCTTGTTTATTTAATGCACCTCAAACAGAAGAGGGCACCTGTTCAACACCTCACTTCTTGTGCACTCCTACATTTTTATGGCTCCACTAATTATCACTATGTTAAAAAGACACCAAAGCTCCGGCAACAAACAAGACCAGACCATGAGAGATTTAATAGATTCACAGCCTCTTTTTCCCCACTGGGAACTTAACTTGGCAGCTGAAGAAAGAAATGATTTACTCTGAATGATGTTGGTGCTTCGGTGCAGAGAGCTGTGGTGAGGAAGACAAAACAAAAATTATCTAGAGATGTTTTGTTGCATTTAGCTGAAACGAATAGAAAAGTTTTAGATGATTATTAAATTTAGAAGTACGTTTTTTTTAACATAAACAAATTAATTACTACAGAATCCACCACTTGCTGTGGGCCAAAGGAGCAAGATTAATTTTATTAATTTTAGGGATGCACCGATATGAAAATTTCAGCCGATATCGACATTCGATATAATTATTGCTGTTATGGCCAATAACTAATATTTACCAATATTACAAAAATACAAAAATTATGTTATACCTACTGTATACCCATAAACACGCTTGGGTTTTTTTTTTTTTTTTGATACTGTAAATAAACAACCAGACCTCTGACATGGCTCCCTACTTCAGATATTCCTGGCTGTGCAGCATCAATATCACCATCGTGATCAAACAGATTTTGCTCAACCAACCATCTCCCCTCCCAAAACAGAAACTAAAGCTAAAAAGCGGGAAATCAATTTTGGACATTAATATCGGCCCAGTTTTACATATTGGACCGATACCGATATTCTAAAAAATGACCAATATTGGCCGATACCGATTTGAATACCGATATATCGTGCATCCCTAATTATTTTATTATCAAATAATTGTTAGTCCTTTAACATGGTCTTGACTAAGAAATTCACATTTTACCACTTTTGAGTTGTATTTTTATGTACATTTTTCTACCAGTCTGTCAAAATAAAACACGATTCATTTTTATTATTCTGTTAAATCTGCACCAAATATCAAAGCAACAGTCTGACAGGCAGACTGTTGTATTTGTTGCATTAACAAGAGGTTTCCTAAAATGTATTTGCTAAAAACATGCCAACATAACTAAGTATGATGTTTCCTTCAGGTTCTGCTTCAGGTTTTTGCATGGTTTTTATTTATTTATTTTTTTATTTTCCTTATTTCTTTTTAGCATTTGTTTCAGATGTTCATCTGCTGTGTGTGATTTTGTTTTGAGTTTTATTTATCTATTTATTTATTTATTCATTTCTTTTGCCTACACTTGTACAGTTTCATGAAACTGAACTAAAGACCAAATTGTAGCTTTTTGAGAAAGACCATCTTTAAGCAAAATCTATTATTTATGGCTGTTATTTAATTCCTTTGTCAACCTAGTACATTAAACAGAAAAAAAAACAGGATGCATTTTTGTACCTTTGTGACAGACTGCCAGCAGCTTTGTTGCTAAATGTGCACATGTGTGGATACAAAACTATTCCTTGAGGAAAATGAGGGTTTTGTTTTTCCTAACATGGCTTATAAATGATTCATAGGTTTAAATGATTCATCATGTCATATAAATAAAATAGCTGCAAAATTAGTGAATAATCATTCAGTGTCCTTAGAAAACTGTTTAACATCCTTTAAACCCTGATGAAAAAACTGCTCAAGACAATGAGCATCTGGCCCTTTGAAAGCACATTAATGTGAGGGAAAAAAGTGACTCAAGATATTTGCACAGTATCATAATGCTGGTTCAGTCAAGTGTTCACACAGCATGAGTAATGTGGCAGCTAAAACTCATATTTTACTGTAGAAGTGTGTGTGTCACAATGTAAAAGAAAAGCAGTTGTAAACGTGTGTGTC